GGCTTTTAAGACATTGTTACATCTTGCACGAGCGCGCACAAGAATCTCGACTGCGATGAATCCTGGCTAGAGAATCATAATAATAATATTATTTCATTCAGATTTATTTATTGCTCCATCCAACAATCACATAATTCGTATATATCGAATAGTGTGCCATGTTCGAGTGCCTCGAGCATTCGCTATCACTTGGCAATCATTTAACATTTCAGTTTCAGACCATTTCAGACTAATTGATTGATTCCACCATGTGACAGACTGCGATAAACGCTATGGTCACGGATTGCTCCGAATTCCGAAATGCTCCGAAAATGGCGAAAGTTAAGCTGCCGTATTTCTACGCCATCTGGGAAAGTAGACCAATTTTTGAAACGAAAATTCATGATTACCACTCGATTGGTCATGTAAATTTGAGTTTAAATATTAATTCTTTTTTTCCAATGATTTTATACACTTTGAGGCAATTAAATAAAAATTGAAAATAAATTGGTGTTTAATTAATTAATTTATTATGAAAGAGGAAATACAAAAGATCATAGGCCAGTATTCATAATCAATTTTTATCTTTAAGATTGTCTTAAGTGCAGTCTTAAAGATAATCTTATGTCATTAACCAATCAGAGGGCCAATCATGTATTAGCATCTTAAGACATTACTTAATTAAGATGGTCTTAAAATAAGTACCGATTATGGGTACATTACCTTACATTCGTTCTTTATATTCTTATATCAAGCCGAGAGGGCGCAAACGATATTTTTTTTAATCGAATTTGTGAGGTCGCCTTTAATAGTATTTTTCATCAATGACGTAAGTTGAAACACGAGGCGAGCGCCAAAAACCGTTCGATAACCGCTTAAATCGGCGGTTTTTTTCTGTAATGTAAAGTGATAAACTCGCTTTAGTATCTCTCCGCAAAGTATCGGAACATGATAGAGTTCCCGCTCGGGTATCGTGAGGTCGTGCCGGATCAAGCTCTGCCAGAGAAATGGAAAGAGATCACTCTGAATACAGGTAAGCGTGTTCTAACCTCCTCTAACCGGAGTTCAACCACCCGGCAAACCAAAATTTCACTCACGACGTCACATAAAAATGCTTCGAGGAATTATCCGTGGCGACATGCAAGCACAATGCTCGCGGAATAATGTATTGTGTAACATTTGCAAGTCGAAGTATCATTTTTGTATCATCTAACCTCTGCCCGTCTATTGCCCATTCTTATGTAAACTGATTTTGGATTTTTGATGCTATAAATCAAGTGGCACACGTGACTGACTCTAAATTTATACATACGTCAAACATGTATATCAATTTATTGCGTTTTGATAAAATTACATAATTTTAAAATAATTGTACATTTATTTTATTAATTATTATATTAGCTGTTACTATTGTATAAAACTTTATAACAAATTGTATAATATATGATAAAAATTAATTGCATCATTATTATTGTTGCTATTATTGTTTATTAAGAAGGGATAGATAAAAAGAATCTTATTTTTATAGGCGGAAGCCAAAGTACATTGCAAGATATAAAAGTACCAGAGAGAGCAGGTGGCTACTCATACAAAGATTCTTCAAAGTATTTCACTCGTAATCGCTTTATTTACTGGCGGATTTGCCATGATGTACTTGAATTAGTGGAACATAGTTTGGACATTAATCTTGCCAACTGTCGAGTGAGATACAAATTTACAGACACTCCAATTCTAGATGGAATTTCTATTCACGAGACAGTCAATTCTGTCATTATCTTGATCGTCACTGTTTCCAGTGTCCACAAGCTTTCCTTTTCTCATCCGGATAAAATTCATAATCAAGTATGCATGAATTTTATTACTCGTTTTTATGTATATCTTGTTATAAAAAATTATTTTGTTAATATTTACTTTTTTTCAAGGAAAATTTGTTGGGAACATATACTGATCTCAGTGTACAATCTATATTTAGCGAAGCCTCTATACAAAATGCCAGAGATCCTCATACATTTCACATTATTTCTAATGCTGGAGTCACAAGTAAGTATGCAGATTATTGGTGCTTTCTAGCAAGAGACACAGTGACACAGTAGTCATTTTATTTCTGTTTAAACAAGAATGATTCATTGTGTTTCACTGTGTCTCACTGAAAAGCATCCTACAGCATAATACGGCAATATAATAAATTCAATTTTGTCACTGCCAAATAAATATATTTTACCAGGCATTCACTTAATAATTTTTTTTTTCAGACTCCCCAGTGCCTCATGCAGCAGCGTCGTGGCTTACGTTGCCACAGGAAGAAGCACTATTTGCCCTTGCATACAGTTCAGCCACTATATTACTCTTGAGGCTCGATGCACTTACAGGCCTCGTACACACCAGTGAACTGAAACAAGATTCAATAATGCCCAAATTTTTAAGTGGTATAGCTACTGCCTTTAGAGGTCGTAATACTGAAGCTTATGTGGCTATGTCTCTTATTATACACAGTTACGGTAGCGATACGTATCTATTTGCATTATGTCGAGAGGGCAATCTACGTATATGGTCTTGTAACAAGACACAATGCGTAGCTGTAACAGATGCGGCTACAGAAAATCGTGTTGTATCTCAAGGTGCGCAAGGTCACGTCTTACGGAAAGCCTTGAGCAACGATAACGAATTATATCTTGGAACTTTCTTAAAATTTGGTACGGGATGTGAATTCAGCATTCTGAAGCCTGTGCAGGACAACGGCATGTTCAAGTTTATTAGATTATGTACATTATACGCACCAGACGTAAGTACTTTTATTAATACTTCTTTTTCTATATATTTTACTAAGATAAAAGCGTAACGAATTTCTATTATTTGTACACAGCAACATTTGGTAGATTTTGCATTTACGCCAACTAGATTGTGGGCAGTGTGGAGAACTGCGGACATGGATGCGATGGCAGTGACGCATGCACAATTACCGTTAACGCACCGTATTAAGCCAGAATGGGAAACTGCAATTTTAGAACCAGCGCGTGACAGCGATTATATTGCAACTGATGAACCTGGACTAGATCCAAGAGAAGCGTACATTAATTACATTTTTCATCCTGGAATGTTTTCGTTGGCAGACATCACGAAAGCTCTGAGCATCTACAGGAGATCCAATGTTGTAGCAGATATGACTTTTTCACCAGCCGTTTTAAAAGAAAGGGTGTGTATGGCTGTAGAGGCTGAGATGCAGGCAGAAGTGATGGATTATGTGATTATGGATGAAGATTATCTTGAAATCGCTAATCGATGTTGGTCGAAATTCTACTCGTGCGTCGTCCAATACCACGCCAACGGTACTCGTCCTGTAGGTCTACTTCTATTACCGAGCGTTTACGGCGTTGTGTTATTGAAGAAGTCGTCGTTCTCGTTTCTGAGACCTATGGAAGCTTTAGAACATCTGGTGCTTTGCAACAATAAATCCTATATTTCTCGATTCAAGACAACGCCCATTCTATCGCAAGATGAAGATACATGTCAAGATCTAATCACATTAATGTCGGCGTTAGTCTTGTTAGGAGAACAATTATCTGAAGAAACTAAAACGGAAATCGAGAGAGAATTGTATCATTTGAGAAGTCCAGATATCATAATTGATGATTTGCTGTCAAAACTGTTGGAACCTGACGATCCAGTGAGTATTTTAATTAATTTTTACTCTATTTTTCTTTATGCAATGTACTCTTATGTGTAATATATATATAAATATATATATAATACTGTTAAAAATAGCTGTCGGATTTTGACTTCCAATCGGAACTCTGTCATAAATTGAGTCACGTTAAAGATATATCAGGAGCCATGGCCATGTTGTTGGAAGCTTTAACATATGATCTTGGGCAGCCGAATAAACTGCAATTTGAGGATGACCACGATACTTCGAAACTTTTATTGAATGTCAATCATCTATTTAACAGTCAGCTAGGAATTGCCACGATAGCGGAAACCATAACACAAATAGCGCTCCTGAGATTTTCCATCTGCAGGGATTTATTGATACTGCAACAACTCATACTACTTCGTCCTGAGATATTTAATTCGAGATCTTTACATACTATAAGATCATCATTAGCACCGAGAACCGTTGTACTTACTCAAGCTTACTATGTCGTCACGTGGCTATGCGAATCGACAGCATTGTACACGCCTTCACAATCATTACTGTAAGTCTTATCGTTTTATATCATAATAAATATAAATTTATTTCTGGCCAGGTGATATTTGAGCAGCAACATCAAGACATGTTAAAGAAGATTACAAAATTTCAGCGAATCCAGTTCTCAACGTCTTTCAACTCTTAAGCTCGCTGATTCGCGAATTAATGTTGGACAGAGGCAGCATCGGTCTCTCTCGCTGTTAGAATTGTTTATTCATAGTAGCGGTGCGAAACACGCTCATATTTTGATGGCTCAAGCGAATATGGACCCAACAACTCTGATACCTTGGCACTACAGTATGCTAACGCATGTAACGCTTATCGCGCAACTTATGTATCCTTTGATAACAGTTTCAATTTTTGATAAACACAATTTTTGTGTCAACGATTCTTTTATGTCAAGTTCAAATAATTCAAGATTTATTGTTTCTATATATTTTCTTGAACAATGCAATTAGATGGCCGATATCTGGAAATTTTATCTTCCCTGAATGGTTACTCTCCAGTTGTCAATTCTTGCTTGTTCAAGAATATGTGAGACTTCTGAACACATGGTGCGAATGGAATAGCGCTTCGAGAAAATTTATATTAGCAGTTGCCTTATTAGAAATGGGAGAGATGCAAAAGGCGTGCGATCATTTTCTTCGTGCTTCCGACGGAATATTGACTGATCCGTTTCTAGTAGATGCCTTACTCAATTCTAACGTGACATCGAGAAATAGGGATTTGGTTTATTATTATCTGAAAGTTATCAAATTATTTGAGGAGCACAATGCATCCGACTGTATCATAGAAATCGCTGAAACGGCCATAACAAACGCCGATGCAGATGATCCGAATTTACCAACACTTCATTCCATAATATTCGCACAACATTTAAGTCTGGGTCATCACGCAGAAGCTTATCATTGCTTGAACGCGAATCCAGATCCCGTACGCAGAGTGGACTGTTTACGGCAATTGGTCGTTACGTTATTCGAAAAAAAATTGTTGATAGATTTAATTTCTTTTCCTTATATCGATATGTACGAGGATCTCGAGAGAATAGTAGAAGGCAGAGCCAGAAGCGTTGATCTTATGGAAAACAATTATTATAATTTTCTATATAGTTTCCATGTCAATAAGCAAAACATGCGGAAAGGTAAGCTTCTTGTTTTGTAACTGAGCATACATGTACACATATTATCAGCTATAAACTTTTATTATATTTTTGCAGCCGCATCCATAATGTACGAACAAGCTATGCGTTTGAGTCAAGAGCCTCACTCTGCACCGATTATAGCGAAACAAGCACAATGTCTACTAGCGTGTATTAATGCTTTACATCATGTAAGTGAAAAGTACAGGTGGATCGTAAGGCCTGTAATTGATCAGAGTATCTCTAGTGAAATGAACTCGTCGAATCCACAAAAGAAAAGAGATATTGACGGAAAAGAAGTTTTGCATTATAAGATAAAGAAACAAGTCGAAGTACTCGAATTGGATGATATCAAAAAGGAGTATTATATAGTAGATGCAAGATTAAAAATATCAAAAGTAAATTCAGAAATGCATATAGTTGCACATACTGGTAAATGTCTCTTAACTGTGTAATTCATCTTTATGAAGAAATCGACCGAAATTTTATATAAGTATATATATATATAT